GTCTGTGACTTTAAGAAGAGGAGGGCTCTTTTCACAAATGCATCACATTAACAGGAGGACCCTCTCTGCTTTGCTGCGTCGGGGCTGCACTCCTGAGGCTGCAGCGCAGAAGCTGGGGCGATGCCACCACCTGAAGACACACAGGCACACTACACATTCGAGGCTGAGCGCAAGTCTGGAGATAGGTTTTGAAAATAAGGTAGATGCACAGATAGTGATCTCATCTGCTGGGTATGCCACACACAAGATGCTTTGTTCTTTCAAATGAGGGCATAGTCTAAGAATGTGTCCAAACTATTTATTTCCTGACTTTGGCATATTATATAGGAGTCCTTATTCTCAGAACATATGAAATAGAAAATTTGCATGTTCCTACCTTCCTACCAGCTGTTAAGATGATGAAAAAAACCTGCCTAAGCATGTGTGTGCATACACACACGAGATCCAGCTTTCCACAGCCTAGAACTCTTAGCTTTAAGTACAGTTAAGAAAAAGTTGGATCACTTAGCATCCCTGTGAATGTTGGAAACATCTTAACTGTCTCAGAGATGAAAGAGTATAATACAGAATGAGAAAAAGAGGGAAAGTTAAATTATGTCTGCAGTCATAATGAATCAAAGCTCAGAAGGAGGGCTGCAAATCAGCAGGTTCTAATGAAATATTAAGGTAAGTGATTACTGATGAAAAATGAATAAGCCTTTTTGATTTCAGCAACCTTTAAATCACACCTAGCTAATTAAAACAACTCTGATGCATTGGCTTATTCCTTGATGGGCATTTAGCTATGCTCAGGTCTAATGAGACCTCATTTTGTGAGGTATGTTCATAGATGATCTCAGGTAAGTGGACAAAGTGTGCCAGAAAAAGACACACCATAAAAGAAAAAAATCAAGCCCTTTTTCACATTTGATTTATCATTTTCAAGCTGGGAATTAAGAAACATCACAAGGGACGTTTCCTGTTTACCATACTCTGTACTACATATTTATTAACATTGAACCTTATTTTAATTAATTACCATATAATGACTACAAGACATTTATAATATTAATATTATGCAATAACATGGTAGTTTTATTTAGCTATATCACAGAGCTATTTAAAATGGTCCTATGTTTCCACCCCACACTTCCAGAAGGAAAGCAGTAAACAGTCCCTCCAAAGGTGGGAATCATCCACGATTTTATCACAAGGTGGGGGAGGATCTGGCTCAACCCTCCAGGCCTGCATCACCCTCATTCATGTCCTCAAATATCACAGGCCTCGTTCACTATACTTTCCTGTTTTGGAAATGAATCTGCAGCTATTCAAGTTAAACACTGCACCAAATGAAGTTGTTTCCTAACCACAGAAATCAATGAAATGGCCACATTTCAGCACCAGCATACAAATGTAATAAGCTGCAGACATCAATTGGAGCATTAAAATAAAGAGCTGAAAAACCTCAAATAAGATTTTACACATAAAAGATGCTGAAAAGAATACAGAAACATCATATGTCACACTCACATTAAAACAATTTATGAAGTGAACTTTTTAGCTTCTACATGTCCTTAGAATGCAAGCATATGGACCATAAGGATGAAGCTGATGGTAGTGTAACAATAATAATAGCAACTAATACTTACTGGACTCTTCCTATATGCCAGGCAGTATTCAAAGTGCCCTACATGTAGTCATTTATTTAATCCTCAAAAAAAACAAAAGCCCTAAGGCAAGTACTGTAATTATCCCCATTTCACAGAAGCAAAAAGCAAGGCACAGAAGGTCACCTGAAAGAGCAGGGATGTGAGATCAGTCTTGGCTCTTAAGCACACCTATGGCATAGTCTATCTTAGCATATAATGCTATATGGTGTTGAATCACATCATCGCTCTCTTGCTCCCCAAGTGGCAGAAACGTTAGGAAACCTGTAAGGATTGAGCATAAGCAAAAGGGATTTTAGCAACTGAAGTGCCTAACTACATTTTCCTAATAGAAACTCCACACTTGTTCTGCAAAGCAGCTCATCTGTACTTACACACAGCTTGCAGGTTTCCTTGTCATGCACACATACACTCCACAAACTGCCTTTGCTGGGCTGATGAGGAGTCTGGTTTGTTCATTTGTGATTTAACATTTTTGAAAGCCTATGTGGCAGGCCTTGGAATATAGCCATAAACACAATAGGCAAACACTCCTACTTCAAAATGGAACTCCATGCTAATTGTTGGAGATGAATGATAAACAACATTTTTACAGTGTGATGAATGATAAACAGCATTTTTAAAGTATGACTGTACCATATCATCACATAATGAGCCTAGTAAGAAAAATAAAGCAGGAAGGTAGTCAGGAAGTCCAGGGAAAGAGGAGGGGAGAATTCCAATTTTTAATTTATCTGTATTTCCTAATATTAACTCACTTTGGTGCCTGCTGGTTGTGTTGCCTGCTACGAGTCCCCAGCCCCACCTGCAGTGGGGACAGAAGCAGCTGAGCACTTCTGGGAGCATGGCATTTCATGTAGAGGCACCCAGGACCCTGTCCCTCTAAGCCTGAAGATCCTGGGATATGCTGGAGTTTGCTTGGAATGCCAGCCACCTTGCAGCCACCTCGCCTGTCTCCTTCTCCCTGACTGACAGCATGCCCAGTGGCCCAGCTTTCCACTGCTGGCAGTGAGTAGTTTCCATCAGGAAGTCCCTCTGGGAGAACTCATGCTAGGGTCATATGCAAACATAGGGCAGAGCCCAGAAAGCTCTCTCAAAGGACATCAGTCCATGACAGAGGATGATGCCTGGCTCTACACGCCTGGCCCTATAGGCATGGGGAGATAGATGACAGGGGCCCTGGCTTGTACCTACATCAGTCCCAGGTTCTCCCTGGGACAGCAGAGTTTATCATCAGTGCCTTCAGGATCCAACATCATTAGTTTCACCATGATTTCTCATCTCTCTAGGAACACAATCTCATCCAACCTCTGGGTACATATGTGTGGGTGGAACTGGCATAGTAGTTTGATTTTTAAACATTTTCAAGAATAAACTAGATGTAAAAGCAATGAAGTAAAGCTCTCATGCAAGAGCTGTAAAAGAAGTCCCAGTAAAAATCAGTACACTACCTGCCCTTCGAAAAATCAATCAACATGCTGTTTCAGTTGTAAGTGGGATAGGATTGTTGAACACTGCAAACCCTTCAGTCAGCAAGGGTCATGTTATGCCTACATCCAGTTTGCCTGGAACTCTTACAGCAAAACCAAGACAATTCCAAGATGTGCTCATCTTTAAAAGAAATTGGGGTAGCACATTTTAGTTTCATCCATTACAGAGAGAGATTCATGAGACTCTTCCAGATGCAAACAAAACTCCTTAGAAATAATATTAGAAGGAAGAACGGAGCCCTGATGTCATGGGGTCTGCCAGTGTTTCTGAACTGGCCTAGTAAGGTAGTTTGTGTCTATTAGCTGCAACTGACTAATGCAGCTGCATCTCCCCTGATGATCCAGCAAAGCCTGCGGCCCCAAGCAGTATCACAAATCACATGTCATTACAGTCATGAATGGTCAAAATAAGAATTTTAATTCCCAAATGCTTGAAGTGGAACTATACTAAAGATGTTAATATCCACAAAGACCTACTTTGGAACTATCCATAAAGTCACTATCACCAGCCTCAGTACTCCCCAGGGCCCCTGGATACTGAACCTGCCCACAGAGAAATCACTGGGCTGCCCCCTGAAGGGCCTGCAGTCCAGGCTCTACCTCATCCTGTAGGACTCAAGGCTCCACCTACCCAAGGGTTCAAGACACCAGGAGCCCTAGAGGCTGGGTGCGTCTTACTTGCTGAAATCCTATAAAACTTTTCCAAGAGTCAGATCACTCAGAGAGAAAAGCCACAGTTCTGCCAGTGGCTCTTAGGGGCAAGAAGTATTAAGGAATTTACAGAGCAAGGGTTGACCATATTTAATGTTGACCAGCCATGAACAAATCCAGCATCCTAACTAGACAGCACTGCCAGTCAAAACTAGGTCAGTTTATTGATATATGTAATAGATATAAAGAATATGAATATAATACAGCTCTGACCCATTCGGGATGCAGTGCAAGCATACCTCCTACTGGAAGCCCCTTTTTCCCCAATCTGATGCCATCTCCTTAGCACCCCATAGAATTCACATTGTTCTGTGTACAAGATAGTGTGTGTGGCCTGTCATGTGACACTGAGTGAGAGGAACCTGGATTGTGAACTAGGTCTTGCTCATTTCTGTATCTCAGACACCTTCCACAATTCTTGGCACACAGTAGCCACCAAATAGCTGCCAAAGAGGTGAACGCACAGCCACAGAGGCTGGAAGAGGAATGTGTACTTTGAGTTGTTCAAATAATTTAAGTTCTTGAATATTTCACAAAACTTAAACATACAGAGTAAAGGAAAGTAGGATGTGGAAGAAAAAGAGAATAATGAGAAGCATTTATCTTCATCTTTAGTTTCTGCCTCAAAGCAGGTGATTTTTTTAAAGTTATGCTAATGTAGCTTACAAAACAAAAATAAACTCCTCTGCCTCAGAATCATAATTACATAGAATTTAAGTTAATTTTCTAGGTCTTCCTCCTCCTCTCTGCCCCAGGCCACATGGTGATTTTGTGAAATTTGGAGAAAACGCTCATCACTCAGAACACTGCCTGCCCTTTGCCAGAAAATCAGCAGAACTGCCAAACGCATGACTAGTAGGGTTACAGTACTCCTGGGAGTCAGGTAATGCATAACTTGTTCGAAGGACACCCTATGTCTCCCTTGGGATCCCCCAATTTCATCTGCATCCTATCCACACCCTCTTGCAATTTTCTTTAAGCATTCTAAGTGACATGCAAATTTAAAACAAACTTGGAGTTAAATTTTTACTTTACTACATTTCTCTGCGTGAGTACTTGATGCAGGTCCAATTCATTATATAACTGTCAAAAGACTACTGCACTTCAAACTTTGTACCTGGCATTACATTGACCCATTAAGTATAAAAGCAGAGACCAGAGAAGAAAGGTATCTGTTATTCGGTCATCAGGCAGATTTATTTAGAATTGTTTTTAAGTAATGATAATCAGTAAGTTGTGGAATGGCAAACTTTTCTTTTAAATCACATTTTTCTTCATGGCAGACAACAATATACTTTTCAGAGTGGATATATATTTTACCATTCCAGAATTATATGAAGTCCACATGAAACTACAGCAGAATTTTTCTTAGGTGAGTAATCTACAATTATTTTAGGCGCCACTATTTACAACTTTTGAAAATCTATATTGGAATTTTCATCTGTTCACTATTAAATTCTTTTTTTTATACAAATTTATAATAGAAATGAGATTTTAGGAGAATTTGTTTAAGGGAATTTAGAATAATCATTTTCTATTTTCATGGTGGTCAAATCAATAAATGAGTTTCATCTAAACAAAACGTAAGCAAATTTTATATCTAAATGAGGATAAACACAATCTAAGGTGAAGCTTAAAAACTGATGATTTGCCAACTGAAACACTGTTAGCCCTTCATCCGAGTTGGTTGGGTGTACATTAAAACTCAAAGTATGGTATCTTTAAACATATTCTCTGATTCAGACTTGATCTAGTCCCTCTATTCAGATTGACATCACCAATCAATTCCAAGGCACAAAATTTTAGTCTGAATTCAGGCACACCCAGGAAATCTTCCAGATGCCTGGAGGTATTACTCTTCCTTTGACTAGGATAGTCTGAGCTTTTGTTATGAATTGGGTGGTGGTGGTGGGGTGGCCTCTTGGAGTTAACCAAGGATTTCAGTGAAAACAAGGGTAATTACAAAAGCACAAATTCAGGCTTTTCTTGCCCAATAATATCTGTTTACCTTTTAAAAGTATAGTAAATTTATTAGTAGAAAAGTTAAGCTGAAAGAACCACCCACCCACCTGTCATTTTGCCAGAAGGAATCAGTTTGGAAACACTCACTGGGCCCAAATAATTTTGTTTTGAGACTAAATACAGAACATTTTCTTTCTTCTACCTGATTTTATTGTAAGGATACAGTATATCATAAATATAACATACAAAATATGTGTTAATTGACTATGTTACTTGTAACGCTTCTGGTCAACAGTAGGCTGTTAGTAGTTAAGTTTTAAGGGAGTTAGAAGTTATGGGCAGATTTTGACTGCATGGGGTGGAATTGGGTTGGTGCCCCTGACTCCATTGTTGTGCAAGGGTCAACTGTATTTTCAAGATTCTGTATTCCTAATGATTTAACAATATAACCCCTGTACAGTATATCAGGTAGAATGAATAATGAAAGGTATAAACTGATACAGAGAATACAGTTTTAAAAATAATTGGGGGCTTAACATAAATGTATATACACGAATATATATACATTCACTGATTCATTCTATGAACATTTGAGTCACTTCTATGCAATTTCAAATGCATATTCAAGTAATTACTATATCCATAGAATATATGAATTGTCTAATCATTTTCTGTTCTGTAACAATAAAGTTTATTTTTCCACTTCTATATATAGAAATTTTATTTCTATATTCACATATGTTCAAATGAAAGAAGCTAAGGTGTTCTCAACCACTTCCTTGACTGGAAAAGACAACAAATACCTGCTCTAATCAACTACTGCTTCTTCCTTACTCACATTAGATCAACCAGTGGGGTGCTGGTGGAAAGAGAAGGAGTCAGTCCACAAACAGAGAATAATTAAATAGTTACTCACACTGAGGGCTGGAGAGGGGGAGGGCCCAAGGGAAAGCTCTAGAACATCTGGGAAGTTAATTTAAAAATGGATTTTGGATTCAGGTCTTGATAAAAATCTCTCAAGAAGTTGAAAATACATCTCACAACAGGGCTCCAAATAAATCCTCAAAAATTTATATGAATAGTTGACTGATTGACTTGTGCGGGAGCAAGAAAGAAAATAACACCAACCTAAGACCACTAAATACTATCAAGATTGGCACCTGAATCCAAGGGTTTGGACTGTCTCAAGGACAGGAGAACTGGGCAGTTGGGACAAAATACCAAGATAAGTTATCACGCCAAGCTGCCAAAGCAGGATCTTGGAGCCTCTGTTAGAAGGCTAAAAGCAAATGAAACAGCAAGCAGCTCAAGGAGATTTTGACCACAGTGTGGCCAGCTCATTTTCAAAGACCCAGAAGTTCAGAGCCCTGCAAACGCAAAGCCATTAAAACAAAACGAACACTCTGCTGGAGGACTAGTCGCCTGCTAACTTCCCAGGTTTTAAACAGTTTTCGCTTATCCTCATATTTCTGTAGAATATTTAAACCTTCTCTAAGGCTAAAATAAATATATAAACAACCCCCATTACATAGTACTTCTACAAACAAATTATGGTTTCAGGCAATGTTAATCAACAAAGAGAATTAAACAAGAAGTCTTTAAAATTAGCCATGACCTTATTTATGGCTTCATTACTTTCAAGATTTCATTTGTTGGGCTGTTTATGTCACCTCAGCCTTTAATTTAATTGCTGTATCTCTATATTAGAATAGCTTAATGAATGGTGATTGTTTGTTTTTACTCACTAAAATTTAACATTTGCAGAACAGATACCACCAAAGAGCCACTTAAATCACACATGCATTAGATGAAGTTGGATTTATACTTTTAGACTGATTCTCTGTTAGGAAAGTATGATGTGACCCAATATGACACTGTGATAAAATTAGGGGTGAGGCTGAAATAGGAGGGCTTCGAGGCCCACCGACACCATGCTGAGGGCTTAGACTGCAGCCTGGTGACAATAAACAGCCACAGAATAATTTTAACCAACATGCCAAGATGAATGAGATGTCAGGTTTTTATTTTAGATGAAAAAATCCCAGGTTTGGGTGAAGTAGGGATTCGAGGAGAACAAATGGGAGGCAGGGAGAGGAGTTAGGAGGCTACTGCTAGTGGCCATGTGCAGTGGTGCAGAAGGAGAGGGAGGATTTGGAATCACTTAGAATATGAAGTTGGTGGGCCTTGTCACTGACTGACGTGGGAGCAGGGAGGCTGGCTGCAAAAGAAAGACTTAGGGCTCGGGTAGACATGTGGCTAGTGATGGCTTGCTTTGAGATTAGACCTATGAAAGTAGCGGAGGTGTGGAATAAAAAATGATGAATTTGGTTTTGGATAGGTTGGCTTGAGATGTTTGAGGGACACATACATGCATTCACAGCTGGTGGTTAGCTCCAAGAATCTGGGGCTTTAAAGGTGACGACAGGGCTAGAGTTGATTACAAGTCAGTGCTGTCCCCCACTCCCATAACTAAAAACTTTAAGCAAGAAGAACACATTAGGGACAGCAGTGGTCCAGAGCTATTTCCCTAGGGAATCCAAAAATAGGGGGCAAGTAGAAGAGAATCTTTAAACAGATAGTCCAGAAATTAGAGAGGAAAGAGGAAGCAAGAGATAGCCATACTACACACAGAAAGCAAGGGAACAGCTTCAGGAGTGCCCAGAGCTGTCCAGAATGGAAACATCCAGAAATGTTTCTTGGATTAGGAATCTAGGAGGCCATTCTCACAAACTCATTGCCTTAATTAAGGTAATGCACATTTTTTATTTATGGTTCTGGAGGTCAGAATCTCAAATGGGCCTCACTGGCTAAAACCAAGGCACTGGCAGGGCTGTGCTACATCTGCAGGTTCAAGGGGAGAATCTGTTTCTTTGCCTTTCCAGCTTCTGGAATCCACTTGCATTCTTTGAATCACGGCCTCTTCCTATCTTCAAAGCCTGCAGCCTGGCATCTTCAAATCTCTGTCCTGCTCAGACTCTCATGACCCCCTCTTTTGCTTATGAAGACTCTTCTGATTCTATTGAGCCCACCTGGGTAATCCAGGAAAACCTCCCCATTTTAAGATCCTTAATCAGATCAGCAGTGTCCTTTCTGCTGTATGAAGTAACAGATTCACAGGTCCCACAGATTACGGGGTGGGCGTCTTTGGGGGCCATGAGTCTGCCTACCGCACTGAGAGAGCAAGATTTAGGGAAGAAGATACAGCAGTCAATATTAAATTTAGATTAACATTTCAAGAAGTTTGGATTAGAAGTGAAGAGGGAAAAATAGGGCAGAAAAGAGCTAGAGGGTAAAAAAGGATTTTTTTTTTAACAGCACGATAAAGATATCAGCATGGTTGCCAGCTACAGGAAGTGCCAGCAGCAGGCACAGGCTAAAAAAGGCGCTGAGAGGGGAGACTGGATGCAGCAGAGTATCTGCAGAGCTGTCCTGGAGGAAGGATAGCTGCACCTCAGCACGAGAGCCCAGTAGCCCAGGAGGAGGTGGGTGGTAGTTTTGGAGATGAGAGGCACACTGAAGGCAACAAGAAACTTTACAACATTTGCTGAGATGAATGGAATCGACCAAGGTCAAAATGGACGGTCGCGGACACTGAGATGGGCCCAGGGTAGATCACATTAATTAGCACCAAGTTGCAATTTTGCACCAACTTGCAAAACTTATATGACAGTGAAATTTCCTACATTTGAGAATGACTTCTCACATTTCAAGAAAAGCAGAGATAAGAATACCAAGTAAATGCAAGTAAATAAAGTGGCATTTGACTTTTTGAATGACAAATGCAAGTTTGTTATATTACCCAACATTTTTAAAAGAGCACATGTTTAATAACTGCCTGTATTTAAGAAAATTAGTTTTGTTCTGTGTTCACCAGACTTCCTTTTGACACAACTAGATTCCAGTTTTAATGGGGGGAAAAACAAGTTCATGAAGGTCTTTCCTTTTAAAATCCTCATTTTCCCTTTAGTGGTAAAATGCATGCAAAAAGCATATGATTATGGTATTTATGTTTCCATTAAGGTGTCCTCAACAAGCTGGGGGAGTCTAGCCTACTATTTTCCTGCTATTTAGATTTATAGCAGCACAGTACCTATTTTATTTCAATTATATTTGAGGACAATGCACTCTTGGTGGCAAATGATTGCATGGTGACAGTCAGCAAATGTCCATTAAAGTTGTCTTCCTGTGGAGTTTTTAACTACAGTAAGTTTTTAACTTCTGGTATCTGGATACAAAAATATGAATTGTGTGGTATCCTCAACTAAATAGAAAACATTATTGACCAGCATTTCATCATTTCTTTGTTAGAATTCAAAGCATACTAAATTTTTAAATTGGAATCATATAACTTAAATGAAAAAAAACTTCTGGTAAGTGTCAAAAAACTCTGAATAAAGTTCATGAATATCA